ACAGGCAGATTGATAGAAAACGAGGTTGGTTGGAGTTTTCGTGGAGTTTTTGGAAGTAGTCACACACGAAAGTAGAAGGAATCGTAAGACGAATCCTAATGTCCTTGGCGTTCTGGTTCATTTATCTCCACTTTGGGAGAAAAGGACTCAGCATCTTAAAGCAGGTCCCTATCTTCATAGTAGTCTACCCATAAAAGCTTCAGCATCGATCCCTAAGACACAGGGCTTTTCTCAAAAAAGCAACTGCAAGGCATGTAATGCAATGAACACTATTTCCTTAATGTCGCTTAACACTTAGTCCACATTTAAATTTCTCTGCTTGCCTGCTACGCTGTGTTTCGAGAGCTGGTCTGCCTGGATCGGGATTCGAGAAAGGCCCACTTGTTGCACCTGGCAGATGTGACCCCTGGCTCTCCTCTACAGATGACCGGTGTCCACAAGGCTCCCATTTCCCTCTCTGTCTTTACTTTGCAACTGTGTACGGCATGGGCTACTTAACAATTAAATTTAGAAGCAAATGCAAATCATTGGACAGCATCCATGGGAGCTCCCGGGAACCATGTGACGGCTACTAGGGAACAGGAATGAGGCAGGTGTGAGCTTAGGGGAAGAAGAAACAGAGCCTGGGGAGAGGGGTGAGGTTTTGCTGCTGACCCACGAGGGCAAAGGAGAGAAGTCCTCAGACTCTATGAATGCTGATCTTGGTGTTTTTAGAGATAACTATACTCATTTTCCATTGCTTCTGTCACAGATGATCACAAACTTAGAGGCTTAAAATAACACACGTTTATTGTTTTACAGTTCCAGGGGTCAGTCACGGGGCTGTGCTTGCTTCACTTCTGCAGCCTGTCTTCCTCCACACGTGGCCACGCATCACTCCAACCTCTGCTTCTGTCATCACACCGCCCTCTCTGGCTCTGACCCCGCTGCCCCTCTCAAGAACCCTCCTCCCACGGGGAGAGACCCCATCCCAGGATCCTAAGAGCCTTTCCTTAACTGCGCCTGCAGAATCCCATGTGAGGTGTGAAGGGACGAGCCCGTCACGGGTTTCAGGGACTGGGACATGGGCGTATTGGGGGCCATTCAAGCAGCAACGCCCAGCAAGTTCTCAGATAGCACAACTTGAGTTCCCAGAGGGAGCGGATCCTGGGGAGATGGTAGGAGGCACAGGTGGGCTGAGTGCTGAGTGGGAGCCTGCTCCCACAGAGCAATTCCGCCAGTGTTACAGCAGGGGCTGGGAGCTCCGGAGAACTCAGAAATCAATCAAACGCAAGCATGAGTACGCACAGGGAGATGATGATGGCGGTCACCCACGGCCACGTGGAGCAAACCACTGGCACGTTCAAAGGAAGCTTCCTGAGGAGGTGGCATGTGAGGCCAGCAAGAGGAGCAGCAGAGAAGCTTCTAGAAGTGAAGGAGATGAACAACATGGCCACTGGTGTGGTGGCCTGGGAGTTAAGGGCAGAGGGAGGGTACCAGCAGAGCCAGAGAAGTGGGCGTGGCTGATCCTGAGCGTGCCCTGCTCCCGTGTGTTCAAATCTTACCACCAGGGGGAGCACAGGAGCCAATGTGGACCCCGGGCTCCAGCAGAGGTGGGGGGAGAGGAGTTTCCAGAAACCGGGCGACCTTAGGGCGGGGTGGAGAAGTTTTCCACTCCAGCTCCACAAAGCCTGGAAGGCCTGGCTGCCTCCCTGTGATCTCTGACTCAGGGGCTTACCCAGATTTTCCTCTTCCAGCTAAAGCAAACCATATTTGTTTCCATGTCTCCCTTTCCTGGAACACACACTTCGGCCCTCTAGCATGTCAGGACGGAGGGGACTCTTCACATCTCATCCCAAATGCTTATGTAGAGGTGAGGAGAGCGAGGCCAGGGAGAGGAGGGGACCTGTCCAGAGCAAACCAAAGGGCCAGGGCCGGCACCCTAATCCCAAGGTCTCAGCCCACAAACCTCCTGGCTTCTGTGTGATGCCCCGGCATAACTGTCACAATGGGCAGGCACCAAGCCCCCTGCAGGTTAGCTCATTCATGACTCATTATTACCCTAAAGAGAACTTTCTACTAGTAAATATTGGCTGAATTCTTCCCACCACGAGGCAGGAGCCAAAGAGATGAAGCCCCTTTTTGACCTAACACCTGTCCTCCCAAGTAGCGGGCTCCTGTGGACAGAGGCACCATGGGGCATTGTCTGTTGCTCTACCCACCATCCCCACAAGCCTCCCACACTGTGGGGTCCCAGCCGGCCTGTGGCACGAAGCTCAGGGGAGGCTCTGCTTCTGCGTCCGGTCCTCTCCCCGTCTCACCACGCGCGGTTTCCCCAGCAGTCAGCAGCCAGCAGTGGGTTTCCTGCCTCTACACACACAGTTCCCTCCGTCCGGCACTTTGCTCGCCGACCCCACCTCCCTAAGTCAGCCTCTGAAGCGTCCCTGGCTCTGCAGCCCCCGGCCCCACTCCTTGTCCCTAGGCTGTGTCTTATCTTCTGCTGAACAAAGATTTAGGAGCCTGTTATCTGTTCATGGGTCTCCCTGCCCCACACTGGGATCCTCCCGCGCTCTGTTCATGGACAGAGGCTGCTTCCCGGCATGCGGAATCATATACAAGCACCCAAGACACTGACAGCAAATGAGCAAAGCCCCCTCCATGACCTGGCTGCTGCCCCTCTGAGCCCCAGCTGTCCCTCCCCCTCCCACCTCATCCCATCACTCAGCTGCCCCAGCCATTGCCCCAGCCTCATTCATGTCCCCTTGTCTCTCACCTTGTCTCTCCACTGCCCTCAGCACACCTTTCATCTCCCGATGCTGCCCCCACGGCACCCAGAGACAGCTTGCTCAAAGAGAGCATCTCAGCTCTCTGTCCAATGTCCCAAAGCTCCGAGCCAGGGACTGCAGACACCAGCAATGGCCCGTGCCCTGCAGGAGCTTCCTGCCTTCCCCTTCCTACCCACTTCCACCCAAGGAGAACCTAAAATGCAGGTAGGGCCCTACCTGGAACACACAGCTCATTACTCATTCCCCTCCCTGAACCCTTCACTGGCCATGCTCACTCAGAGTACAGAGCCCGCGGCTGAGAGACCTGGCACCCACACCCCGCACCTTCCCCTCCCCACACGCCTCCCACTGCGAGCTCCAGCCCAGACCCAGGCAGCCCCCATCTCAGCCCAGGATTCTCTCTCTATTGTCAGTTTCCCTGTGGAAAAGTTAATTCTTCCTGATTTAGAGCTAAAGCCCCAGCTCCCAGCTCCCTTGGTCCCCACGCCCACCTGTCACTCCACCCATCACCTTCCTCCCATCCCGTGCTGCCTGCCACCACCCGAGGCGCCACCACTGCCACTACTGATTGCTCTTTAACTGCCTGGAGGGCAGAAACAAGATCTCATCTACTTTCCCAGCTCCTATAAAATACCGTCACATGTACCGGAAACATGTATTTGAATGGTTCAGTCCAGGAGAGGAGACTAAGGATAATACGGAGACAAAGCAAGAGCTACAGTGCGATACCAGGGGCTGCTTCCAGTGCGTGGAATTTGTTGAGTCCTTTTTGTTTCTTAGCATTTTCTGGTGTTTTTTGTAATGAGCAGGCTTTGCCTTGGTAAGAATAACCAATGATCATGGGAGCCTCATTTCTTTTTTAAAGATTTACTTATTTATTTGAAAGGCAGAGTTAGAGAGAGGCAGAGGCAGAAAGAGGTCTTCCATCCACTGGTTCACCCCCCAAATGGCCACAATGCCCGGAGCTGCGCCAAACGGAAGCCAGGAGCCTGGAGCCTCTTCCAGGTCTCCTGTGCGGGTGCAGGGGCCCAAGGGCTTGGCCCATCTTCTACTGCATTCCCAGGCCATCGCAGAGAGTGGAATTGAAAGTGGAGCAGGCGGGACTTGAACCAGCGCCCTTTTGGGATGCCTGCACTGTAGCTTTACCCGCTTGGCCAAAGCTCCGGCCCCAAGAGCCTCATTTTGGGGGGAAAAAAGTGCCAACAGGGCTCAAGGGTCTCCAAAAACCAAGACTCTCCTCACCCCGTAGGAAAGGTGTGTTGACATTATGGGGCCATCCCTGTCCTTCCAATGAAGGGGGCAGGGCCGGGCCAGGTGGAGGCAGAGCAGGGGTGAGGAGAGGCATGGCAGAAAGAGGAGTGTCATAGCAGGGCCTTGAGAGCAAGGTGAGGTGTCTCCCCTTAGGTCACAATGCGCGGAGCTGCCGCAAGTTTCTGAGTAGCGGGGAGCCGGCTCAGAGCTGGTCGCCGGGAGCATCCCACAGGCAGCCGTGCGCAGCTCTGGGAGTCCCGAGCAAGAGCGCGTGGAGGAGTGGAACAGAGACGTGGCGACCACCCCTCACCTTCCTACCGGGCATCCACACCGCAAGCCCCGGAAGCAACCTGGGCTGCCCGACTCTACTAGATAAACGATTTCCACAAGCCCCAGGTGTGCTCCCACCCGGCCTTGCGGACTTCTACCACCACCTCCTGTTCCACCTGGTGTGCCAAAGAAGAGCAAGTTCATCACCGGAGGGCCTGTGAAGAGCCGTCCGAGAGGGAAATAAAGGCAGGCAGCGACCCTCAGGCTGCAGCAGGCGCAGCAGGACCCGCGGGGGCCCCTCAGGCTGGAGCAGCCGCAGCAGGACCCGTGGGGGCAGGCGGCCGTGGGGAAGGGGCCTCCGGCTCCCGCCGCCCCGCCGAAGGCACCCCCAAGTGCAGCGCCAGTCTGGGGACCACCGGAAGGGCGAGGCTACCCGTACAACCCCCCGGTAACAGGGGCAGGGGTGGCGGCCAGGGGAGGCCCGGGGCAGAGAAAAGGAGACGGGGAAGTTGGGAGGGCGGTGGAGGGAAGCAGAGCAGGGGCGAGGCCTCGGGGAGCGGCAGGGTCCCTGCCTCGCGGACCTGGGCTGGGCGGTGCGGGGCGTGGGCGGGGCAGGTGGGGCCGGGAGGCGGGCTGGGCGGGGGCGGCGGCCCCGGCACATGCGCAGGGAACCCGCCGCGCGCCCTAAGGAGTGGCACTTTTTTAAAAGTGCAGCCGGAGGCCAAGCAGCAGCCGCCAGCACCTCCGTCCTTTGCCGGGTTCCACCAGCCCCAGCCCCAGCCCCAGCCCCAGTCCCAGCCGCAGCCTCAGCCTCAGCCCCAGCCGCAGCCGCAGCCGCAGCCGTTCGTGTTCCCAGGCCCACCCCCGGTCAAGCCAGCCAAGGCCCCTCTATTCAGCATCATGCCGGTCAAAGGAGGCACCAAGTGCATCAAGTACCTGCTCTTCGGGTTTAACTTCGTCTTCTGGGTGAGTGCGTGCCATGACCGCGCGTTCCTCTCACGGGCCACCTGTTTCTGGGCCCCCAAGCCCCCCCCCCCGAGAGGGTCGGGGGCGCCACGGCGGCCGGCACTGCCCAGGCTGGGCGGGCGAGAGGGCCCTGCGGCTGCCAGCTGGCACCTCGGCCCCGGGCGCGCGGGACGGGCCCGTCCGCGAGGGGCTCTAGCGAGCCCGGGCGTGCCGGCCGCTCGCGTCCCTCTCCTCCGCGCGCACTGGAGTGGGGTTTGGGTGTGCTCCATGGGAAAGGCTGCGGGGAGAAGCGGGATACAGCTCTCTCGGGAACTCAGAGCCCTGGGCGGGGAGGACCGGCGGGCAGTGCAGTTGGTGGCCGGGTGGGGTCCACCGTGGGAGCGGGCGCTCCGAGGACTCGGCGGTGCGGACACTGTCCTCTCCGCCCTTTAACAGTGCAGGGGACCCGGGCCTGGGTGAGAGCCGAGACCCCGACCCCTCACCCCCACCCCGGGTCCCCTGGGGGAGGGACCGCGCGGCCCCCTTCACCCAAGATGGGGCTTGGCGCCGCCGTGCGAGCGGCCGCGCTCCCTTGCAGCAACCTGAAAGACGAGCTTGGCTTGATTTTGTTTTCCGAGGGCGATAAGCATCTTAACTGGAGAGAACTCTGGGAGAGTTGGGGAGGAAAGTAGGAGCTGATGCCTATCGCCGGCGCCTCCAGTGCGATGAGTCCCGGGTTTTGGCACTTCCGGCCTGGGATCAGGTGCCTGGGGCTGCCTGCCCGATGGCCAGGCGGGGTGCTCACCTGGAGAGGCCATCCGGGCAGGGCGCCCCGGGCACAGCCACTGGCCATCAGAAGCAGTGGGAAAGGAGTGTGTCCAGGCCATACCTTTTTCCCTTGGGGGATGCAGGGACTTTTGTGTCCTGGTCCAGAGCCAATATCCCTTACACACAAATGGACTGCATTTGCCCCGTCTGCAGGCTGGAGAGGGTTTGGGAGGGCAGTTCTCGCACCACTCAGGAGAGGAAGCTGGAGAGGGCAGAGACTGGGACCCCAGAAATGCACTTCTTCCCCTGGAACAAATGACTGCTTCCCTGGGGCCCTGGGGTAGACGCCCTAAGATCTGACCCTCTGCAAGCTGAAGGCGCCGTAGCAGAGCCGTTCTGCAGCCTGCAGTCTGACCTGCCTTCGCGAGGGTCTGCACGCCCAACACACCCTGCTGAGCATAGCACATAGGTGTGCCCCTGCCCGACCCGAGGCAGCTTCAGGGAGGCCCTGCCCTGGGGGGGGCACCCCCTCCTACTGGTGTTACCTACAGCTGCCAGTCTCAGCTTCTGCCTCTCCCCAAGTCTGTGTCCCAGAAAAGAATGTTTGAAGGAGCCTCACCCCACCCTCGTCATTTGAGGAGCTTTGCCCTCTGCCCTGCCAGTCCATTGGTTAGCCCTCGGCTGTTGGCTTAGATTGCCACAGCCAGACTGCACCCCCATCAGCCCCATGGCACATGGGGGAAGCTGATGGGAGTCTTGCAGGACCCGCAATCTGTCAAGACTGCTTCCAGCCTGCCACCCCACTCGAATTCACAGCTCCCTGCCTGGGCTAGGTGCTGCTGGTTAGCTCTGCCGGCCGAAACAAGGCTGACTCATGCTGGAAATGTTTGGGTTGAGAGTTGGGAGTGGCGCGGGAGCTCTCCTTCACAGTGAGGAAGCAGAGAACCAGATGCTCAGTGGGTTTGCCCAGGATCCCAGACAGCGCCACTGCCATTAACCCCTGGGTCCCTTCCTCTCCTTCTGTCCCTTGCCAAGCCCGTCACGGGGAGATGAGCAGCGACCACACTTTCCTGAGTATTTATTGGTCACTTGTCTTGTACTGGGGTCCTTGCAGAGGTAACGCCTTTTCCCCCCAGATGATGGTGGTGCACTTTGTGCCGTGTTTTGCAAAGTCCTTTCTTTTCCAACACAGAGCAGGAAGTGTCATCCCCCCTTTACCGACAACCAGGGAACTTGGTCCCCAAAGAAGTTAAGTGCCAAGGTCATGTGGCAGGAGCATATCAGATTAAGTTATTTTACCCAACTGGGTGGGAATGCAAGACAGTGGGATGAAGCTCCCCCTTCCTCCCAAAAAATTATTTTCCAAATTTTTATTTGAAAGGCACAGACAGAACTCCCATCTAGAGGTTTATTCCCCCAAATGTCTGCAGTAGCTCGGGTTGGTCTGGGCTGATGTTAGGAGCTGGGAACTCCTCCCAGGTCTCCCACATAGTAGCAGGAGTCCTGTTGAGCTGTCGCTGCTACCTCGCAGGATCTGCTTTAGCAGGGACACTGGAATCAAGAGCCAGAGCCAGGAATCAAACCCAGTACTCTGATGTGTGATGCAGGCGTTTTAACTGCCAGGCCAAACAACAGCTCCAAGACTCTTTTAAGGAAATCTAGGATCTAAGGAGACTGCTTGGATTATGATGATGTCACCACTTCCCTTTCTGTTCCAAGACCAGGGATTTATATCTTGGTATTTGGAAGCTGATATGGGTCTTGAAACGCAAGAGTTGTGAGGCCAGGAGCCCCCCACGTCTCCTGTACTGAGGATGCTGGGCACGGGCGATGGGGTGGTGTGGGGTCCAGTGGGGATGGAGAGAGAAGCCAGCCCCAGCGGCAGTGGGAAGGCTGTGGGCCACCTGGGACGTTGTGCTTCTGTCTGGCCCTGCTCTCAGTCCTGAGGATCCCTCCGTGACAGCTGCGCCTGTGCAGTCAGCCCTCCCCATGTCCGGTGTCTGATGCCCACGGCCAAACTAGCAATCAGCCTGTTTTTCCAACACCCCCAGAACCAAACCTCCTAGCTCTATTTTGGTTGTTTCTGCATTTCCTTCAGCCCTCCCTGCCCGCCAACCCCCTGCAAAACAGTCGAGAGGGAAAACATCTTCCTAGTATCAGAGTGCTAAACAACCCCGTTCAAGCTGGACGGGGGGACCAGGGCTAGGGCTACCCAAGGGATGTGCCATCCCCATTCTATTCACAGATTCTAAGTCTGCACAGCGAGGGTTTTCTGCCTTCTTCCTGGAGCTCCTTAGGATAAAGGAGGGGAAGAGTTGGCTGAACTGAGTGAGCCCAGTTCCTCGCCCTCCACCTCCTCCACTCTGCTCATCATGGCTCACCCCTGACCCTCCCTCAGTGATGGAAATAGCAGGGAGGGTCCTCTTTCCCAAGAAATGGTGTCACCTGGACCCAATGGGAGACGTGGACTCTGTCCCCAGACCTGTGCCCCGGAACTCAGTTTCCCCATTTGTAAAACCAGCGAACAGGTTAGAACATCACACTCAGCCTAGAAGCCAACCCCTGGAGCAATAGGACTTTCACACCCAGCCCCAGCCCCAGGCGGAAGTCAGGAAATGGAAAGATCTGTGTTTTCAAGACTCATCCTCCCAGCATCGCTGCCCCTGACTTCTGCCTCTGGAGCAAGAACCTGGTTCCTGTGTCTCTTTCCTGTTACCTCTCGCTCCCCTCTACTTGCCCTGGGTGGGCTCTCTGGTGGTGTTGTCAGTGCCCATGCACCTTAGCCCTCTGGTGCTCAGCGTCTCCCCGGGCATTGCTGTGGCAGCTCAAGAATGTGGGCCATGCCCTTGGCGTGGTAGCCTTGCACAGGGTGGCCTGGGAGAGCACTCCACAGGGTGGAGTGGAGAGCAGCCTCTGACAGGTGTGGCAGTGGGAGCCACAGATGCAGCCAGGAGCACTTCCGCCCGCACCATGCCTCCCTTCTTTGCCACCTCTTCCTGCCCCTGCGCCAGTCTTCCTGAACGTAAAACTGCCCCCGAGAAAAGCCGTGAGGCAGCAGGATTCGGAGCCTGGGCAGGGTATGGATGAGCAGGGTGGCACCGGCCAAAGCCCCTCCCTCTGGCTTGCTGCTCCTGGCAGAAGCTGCCTGACTTGGAGGTAGGGGCTGGGCCAGTGTGGACTGTGGGGCAGTTGGCTTCCCGCCCCTGGCGCCCAGACAGCCTGGGCCGCTGCTGAGCCGGGCTCTGTTTGTACTGAGGCTGGCAGGTTCCAGCAGAGGTGAGTTGAGGCCAGATGTCTGCATCTGGGAAGGAAAATGAGGCCTTTGCCTGCTCAGGCTCTCTCCCCAAACGTCTGGCCTTCTGATCTGGTGGTAGCAAGAGGATTCCTCCTGTACACTCAGTCTCCCTCCCTCACCCTCTCCACCCCTTTCTTTTTGAGTGACCGCCCCCAAGCACCTTCCAGACCCCACACTTTTGTGCTCAAAGAAAGCAGCTGCTAGTGCAGCCCGAGTCTGGCACTGCCTGCATAGGAAACTGTCACAGGCCACCCCCGCCCAGAGCCCCTACTCTGCTAACTGAGCCTTCCTTCCGTGTCTCATGGTCCCCATAAATCATTGCTGCCACACCTTCCTTTGGGTGGGAGCCCTCCAGCTTTGCACTCCGAGCTGTTTGTCCTGTGTGCGTTTTGTCTGTTTGCTTTCCCGTTCCGTTTTATGAGGAGGTGTGGCCTGGGGACTGGGCACACAGTGCAACTTAATAATACCTTGGGTTTACAAGAGCGCTTTCTCTCCCAAGCAACCCGGCCCCTCATGTTCCTGCCTGGGTGCGGCTGGCCCGGAGGGGAGGGGCCTAAGGTCGCCGCCGGCCATGGCCTCCGTGGGCGCCTTGTCGGCAGCCCGTCCCGGATAGACCCGAGTGGAGGAGTTGAGGACGCCCTTTGAGGTTTGGAGCCATGGCGCCTCCTTGCAGCGTTCAGGTGGTGTCGAGTATGATGGTGTGAGCCGCAGTGGCCGCTGTCTGCCCTGGAATGGGCTCTTCCTAGTCCGTTTTTAAGCCTTGGTGTTTGAAGACTGACTTCAGACGGCTGGCCTGTCTCAATCCATGGAAAAAACCATGCTGTTCCAGGGGATGTTTTTGCTTTCCGTCAAGTAAGGGCACGCAGCTGGGGAGGGCAGCGCCCTGTCCCCACACGAGAGAATTTTGTAATAATTGCACCCACCCAGTAATTGCCTCCCCCCGCCCCCCAGAAAATGC